CTCTCCAGCCCATCTCCTTACCCCCTCCAGCCCACCTTTTTGCCCCCCTCCAGCCCAGCCCACCCGAGGGCGCCCATCTCCGCCAGCCCCTCCTATTCGCGCCCGCCGATGGATAAATATAAGCCCGTGTGTGTGGCCGACTGACGGTTGCTCAAGAAGGCTGTCATTGAGAGGCGATAGAGCTGACAGGGTGCAAGTGGGAACAGCTGACGAGGAGAATTAGAGAGCGATGGGGGGAAGAAAGAGGAGGAAAAAAGAGAATAAATCAAGAGGGGAGGAGAGGTATGAAGGAAAGAGACCTAGAGAGGAAGGAAGAGAAAGAGGAGAGGAAGTGAACGAGAGGTCAGAGGTAATAGTGATCACGTGGACAATTACTGCCGGGGAAAGTCCGGCTTGCTCGATGTCGTTTCTTATTAATTTTTTCTTTTTTTTTTTATATATTCATACTTAGACATCTGCGGAGATATTATATTTATGTTTCCTCATGCTCGTCGATTCTTCTCTCGCCATAAGCTTTCCGCGATGATGTTTTCCATCGGGCAAGGGGATTTCACGATAATAGTGAGCTGCTACACTCGAGCCCGTGTTCACTTGAGTAGGTTCTCATAGAGTTCTATCCCAGAGCTCAGAATCCACCAAGCTCACGAACTCATCGATCTGCTAGCTCACTCTCTCTGACTCTCGTCTCGTCTCTCATTCACTCTCTCTCTCTCTCTTTCTCACTCTCTCTCTCTCTGTCTTATCTCTCTCTCTCTCTCTTCTCTCTCGTCTCTGCTCTCATCTCTCGTTCTTCTCTCTCTCTCTTCCCTCTCTCTACTCTCGTTCTCTCTCTCTTTATAATATAACCTTATATAGTATATATTATTTCGATTGCTAGTACAACTCGACGGTTGATAGAACCGTGTACAACGTCTGGTCGTGCAGCGGTACGAGAAATAGGTCATAAGGGTATATATTATTACACCTTATATTATATAGATATACGTAATTTGACGAGATGCGGAAAACAGAGATAGAGGAAAACAAGACATATGAATGTTACAGGGTACATTACGCAATTTATACATACATTTTCCTTTATCGAGATTGTTTTTTTTCACCCTTTTCTTCCCTTCCTCCTTCCCTTCCATCCTGCTCTTCACCTTTCCTCCAGATTGCTTCCTCCCACATCACACCTCGACCTCCGCCCCCCTCTCCGATCCTCCTCCTGCTTCTTTTCATCCATCACTTACTTGTCTCTCCTTCGCCTCCTCTCCACGCCCCTCCTGCCTTTCCTTACCACCTCCTCCTTCCCGCTCTCCGCTCCCTCCTCCACCCTTACCGCCGTCCCTCCCTCCTCCACACCTCCTCTTATCCTGCCTCTCCTCCACCCTTCCTTCCCTCCTCCCTCCTCACCCTCCTTCCGCCTCCCTCCCTACCTCCACCTTCCTTCCTTTCTCCTCCCTCCCTCCTCCAACAAACCTTCTCCTTCCTCCGCTCCTTCCTCCTCCGACCATCCTCTCACCATCCGACGCTGCCTTGCGACACGTGCATGCTTCGTTTACCGATCAACAAAACTAGGCCCAGAGCGTTCGCATGCGATGGACTCGTATCATCCCGGAGCCACGCTTGGCAGAGAGCAGGCAGACATAGAATCAGCTTCACACAAAATTGCTCAATAAGCCCGGACGCATCCCTCTCGTCCCGCCGCGCATCCCTACAACGCAGCCCCCCGCACCGCCCATCCCACCCCACCAACAGTCACTTGCTAATACGAACTTATCTTTACTCCCTCCGCCCTGGCCTGCTGCCCTCCCCTGCCCTCCCCGCCGGCCGCCAGCCCCGAGGCAAGCCTTCTTGTAGAAAGTCTTTCTCCATCGGTGCTGACCATGACAGCGAGGCCCCGCTGGCTACGCGAAATACAACCCGACGCACATCTAATCGATATACGACTCCCCTTTAACCATCCCCCCCCCTTCCCTTCCCCTCCCCTCCCCTCCCCTCCCCTCCCCTCCCCTCCCCTCCCCTCCCCCTCCCCGGACGAGGCGCGTGATTCCCCGGCGGTGGGGCGAGGGATTAAAGTTGCGTCGCGTAAATTAAGTGGTCGGGTTGTCGCCTCGAGACCCTGGTGGCGGCCCGGCCTGGGTTGGGGTGCATGCGGGGCGGGGAAGCGGAGGGGGAGGAGGGAGGAGGGAGGAATGGAGGAGGGAAGGGGAAGGAAGGGGGGTAGGGTGGCTGGGACGTGGCGGAGGGGGTGCTTCTTGTTGGTGTTTTTGTTGTTCTATTTTTTTGGTAGTTGGAGGTATTTCTTTCTCTGTGTCTGTCTGATGTCTGCTCTCTCTCTCTCTCTTCTCTCTCTCTCTCTCTCTCTTCTCTCTCTCTCTCTCTCTCTCTCTCTCTCTCTCTCTCTCTCTCTCTCTCTCTCTATCGCTCTCTTGCTCTCTTTCCCTCCCCCTTCCTCTTCCTCTCCCTCTTCCTCCCTTCCCCTCCCTTTCCCTCCCTACCCTCCATTCCTCCCTCAGCACATGGACACAACACGCGCATGCACTCCCCTCCCCCACATCACCCACATTCTCACAAGCCTCATACCCCAGTTCAGTCTATAATGGTATACAAGTCGCCGGGCCTTGCACCAGCTGACCACGTGGTTTTGTGTTTACATCCTTCCTCCCCCTCCTCCCGCCCCCCCACGTGGTGCCGGCCGGGGTCTTGTCGCCTCCGCCCCTCCCTGTCAGACCCGTCCGCGCTGGGGGAAAAATATATTGGCTCGTGGGACAGGAGTAAAAAGTGTTTACTCCTCCCTCCCCTGGCCGCTGCTCCCCCTCCTCCTCTCCCCCTCCTTCTCCCTCCCTCTTCCCCTCCCCTCCCACCTTCTTCCTTACTCGGGCTCCTTCCCCTCTCCCCTCCTAGCTCCTTTCTCCTCTCTCCACCCTGATCCCTCCCCTCCCCCCCCCCCTCACTCCTCCTTCCCTCCTCCCCACCCCTTCCGCTCTCCTTCCCTTCGCCTCGACCCCAAGCTATCCTAACAAGTTGTAGACACGTTAGAGTGTGTGTGTGTGAGTGTGTGTGTGTGTGTGTGTGTGTGTGTGTGTGTGTTGTATGTGTGTGTGTGTGGGTGGGTGGGTGCGGGGTGTGTGTGTGTTTGTTTGTGTGTTTGTTTTTAGTCTACATTCATTTTTATTCTCAGATAATGTTCTTGGGTGTTTTATCTATTCCTTTTCAGCGGCCAATCATCTTTCTCCCTCATTAGGAATGCGCGGAGAGGCAAAAGATATTCTAATGTGTTGCAATGATTTAAATAATTGCAGTTCAACCAATGGGATTTCTCGGCCCTTTGTCCAGTTTCACAAATCATCGTCATTATCGGCAATCAGCGGGATTTAGTTGTTATCTTTGCATCCATTTTGCAACCTTTTTACGATAAGGCGAGCGATGATTTATATTACGTATGCCCTCTCTTTTTATTAAAATTTATTCGTTGCTATATTTATTTATTTATTCAAAAGGTGCCTCCCCTTTCGGTCATTAAAAGAATCAACAAGGAGAGTGCGACAAAAGATATGTAAACGACATTTCATACACATTCCGCTGTATGGAGAGGATGATAGATGTGATATATTATTTGAGATCTTCAATGATTGTAGTCGATAGATATAATTTAGAGGGAATATAAAACTACAAAATATAATTATAATTTTATGGATAGCAGAACAGCAGATATAGATACTATACATAGCGAACAGAAGACTCTTCGCGAGATAATTTACGAGGGTAGGCGAGACAGATTACGGGTAGGGAGAAGAAAAGGAGGGCCGAGGAAAGGGAAAAAACGAAACGAGGAGAGAGAGCGTGTCGATAATTCGGAAGAGGATATCTTGAAATCGTGTGATAAATATCGTCGCTTTATCATTTCTTAAAAGACGGACCAGCGTGGCTGCCGTTGGGGCGGCCCTTGAAATGGCTTGGGGTTTCGGTGGGCCGTGCGGGTGTGGGCTGGGATGAGTGGCATGGGTGTGTATGGGCGTGCCGGGCGTGGGCTGGATTGAGTGGCCCAATTGGTCGTGTGGGCCGTGCGGGCCGTGGGTCCTGGAAATGAGTGCCATGGGTGTGTGGGCCCCCGTGCCGGGCGTGGCTGGATGAGTGGCATGGGTGTGTGCGGCCCCGCTGCGCGGTTTAAAAGGGCTGGAAAAATGAGTGGCCTGGGTGTGTAGGGCGTGCCGGGCGTGGGCTGGATGAGTGGAATGGGTGTGTTGCGGCCGGCCGGGCGTGGGCCTGGAAATGGAAAGTGGTATGGTGATGTAATGGGCCGTGCCGGGCGTGGGGCCTGGATGAAGTGGCATGGGTTGTGTGGGCCGTGCCGGGCCTGTGGCCTGGATGGTGGCATGGGATGGTCGTGGGCCGTGCGGGTGGTGGAAAATGAAGTGGCATGGGCGTGTGTGGCCGTGGGCCGTGGCTGGTAATGAAGTGGTAGGGTGGTGACATAGGGTGTGCCTCAATGTGAATGGGTGTGTGGGGTGGGGCGTGTCCGAAATCGCGATTCCCATTTTATGTGTTGTGGCGGTAATATGATTGGGTATTTACATGAAGGTGTTATGATGGTTGGGCGAGAATGTGGAGGGCCAAAGTTGGATGCCGATTGGTTCAGTGTATGCTTGTGAATGCTGTGGACCTTTCCAGATTCCGCGTGGGAAAGATGAGCTGGAATGAAGTGGAAAATGGGTGTGTGGGCCGTGGGGTGGGCTGGAATGAAGTCTCTTAGTGTTTAATGAGAGCGGTCGCGCGGGGCCTCGGCGATTTAGAGTGGGGCGCCGTCGATACGGACATTAATCGCGTGGCGAACGCCAGAATTAGTGGGCGAGTACTGATGTGCGATTTTTGCTATTTACCTTATTTTTCCGTGCTTTTTTTTTTTACTTGATTTTTGCGTCTTCCTTCTCCCTGCCTTTTGGTCGGTCTTTCTGTTTTTCTTGTTTTTTGACTACTTGGTGCTTTTTCGTTTTCTGTTTTGTCGTCTTGTTTCA